AGTGACATGGCACAATCCACGGTTTGTTTAAACCAGACACTTCGTCGTCGAATTCTGACGAGTAGACCGCTATATGACCGACAGTTTGGTCAGGGCCACCAGATGATAATTCGTCCTGTTGTGCTTGCCGGTTACGCACCCCTAACGTGTTTTTGGTGCTGATAACCAATAGACCAGGAAGATACTGCGCCAGTCTCGTGAACAGCGCGGGTTGCGTGCCATGAGACGGATATAAATTGCTAACCAGACGCAAGAGCGATTATGGCTGTTGTTAGGACCAACGGGTACCGGAACAATTCACTCGGCCAAACTTGTATGCATTATGCTGGGTGGGGTGTGCGTGCCGGTGACGTTGACTTAAGCCGGTCTTCATCGGGAAAAGGCGGGAACAGTAAGCGCAGGCCCATTTGGCGACCATGCTCGTACCAAGACTTTCATTGTCGTGAACTCGATTTTGGCCTCCAAGCTAGCTTTCGACTTGCAGTACTTGCCATATTCCTCACACGTGAGCCCCACGAATTTCTCCTGTGTACCGACAGGAACTGGTTCAGGGGCACCATATGATTCGTAGCGTATACTGTCGAAAGTAACCAGCACATTGAAACCAAACAAGCTGGTTAGTCCAGTGTGGAGTTGCTGAACCCTTAGCTAACCCAAACTGACGTTCAGGATAACCAGTCGGCAACACTAAGAGATGGTCAAGCACGCCGACCACCACTAATTCTGAAACGAAAAAGGCCTTCGCTGCGGAGTTATTTATCAGGAAATGCCAACTGAACAGTTATAGACTATTGGACAGGGGAGCAAAGCTCTCATATGCATCTTGTTTACAAGACTGAACACCCATCTTCTCCGTGAACGTGTCTTCCCGAACTTTCTTGGATATTCACTGACCGTTACTCAGTAGGAAGCAAATGCTACCGAGCGATTCCACAAATTCCGTAATAGCTCTCACTGTTCAAGAGACGCAAAGCGGATTTATGAGAAAGCATACTACTCGCATGCCCACCTGCCGGCACTTATCTGCAGCCCACAGGTGAAGTAGAACCCTGGACGGTGAACGTGGAACCACCTACGGACTCGGAGGTTTACGACTGCATATGTTCTCTCAAGCGCCACCGAGCTCCCGGTCCGGATGACCTTCCACCCGCACTGTTCAAAGACGGGGGTGAAGTCCTCAGTCAGCGCTTGTCCGATCTGTTTGCT